AAAAAAAAAAAAAAATGCTGTTTGCCCATAAACAACTGCATAATTTTTTCCCCCTGTCTTAAACTCAGTGGAAAAAAAAATGGCATCATGGTATATCAGTGAGCCTGTCCTCTGGTTTGGTTGACCCCAGCTAAAGGGGCCTTTGCCAGGCTGTGTCTCTTTCTCTTTTTAGTTCTCAAGGATGTTTTCCCTACATAGTCTATTAGTCTTTTATGGCGATAGGAACAAAACACCACAAACTGAGTGGTTTAAAGCAAAAGACATTTAGCCTCTCATAGTTTTGGTGGCTGGGGGTCTGAAAATCATGAAATAGGCAGGGCCCAGCTCCCTCTGGAGCCTCTAGAGCAGTGGTTCTCAACCTTCCTAATGCCGCGAACCTTTAATACAGTTCAAAGGTCGCGACCCCTAGGTTGAGAAATGCTGCTTTAGAGGGAAGATCCTTCCTGCTGCTTTCAGTTTGTGGTGGTAGTTGACAATCCTTGGCCTGTAGCTGTGACACTCACACGGCCTCCTATCCTCCACATATCAGTGTTTCTGTGTTCCCTTCTTACAAGCACATCAGTTACTAGAGTGAAGGCTCTCAAATCTAGCATAAGCTCATTAGAATGTTTTTATAATTAGGTATAGGGTCTTGCTGTGTTGCCCAGGCTGGAGTGCAGTGGTATGATTATAAAGCTCACTGTAGCCTCAAACTCCTCCTGAGCTCAAGTGATCCTCCTGGGCTGGGTGCAGTGACTCACACCTGTAATCTCAGCACTGTGGGTGCAACCCTTGTGCTTAGGAGTTTGAGACCATCCTGCACAAGAGCAAGATCCTGTCTCTACTAAAACTAGAAAAATTGGCTCAGCTCAAGTGGCTAAGGCGCCAGCCACATATACCTAAGGTGGCGGGTTCGAATCAAGCCCGGGCCCACCAAACAACAATGACAGCTGCAACCAAAAAATAGCCAGGTGTTGTGGCGGGCGCCTATGGTCCCAGCTACTTGGGAGGCTGAGGCAGGAGACTCGCTTAAGCCTAGGAGTTGGAGGTTGCTGTGAGGTGTGATGTCACAGCACTCTACCCAGGGGGACAGCTTGAGGCTCTGTCTCAAAAATAAAAAAAAATAGAAAAATTAGCTGGGCATTGTAGCTGGTATCTTGGCTTCCCAAAGTGCTGGGATTCATGCCAGGCTCTCATTAGAACTTGATTGCAAAGACTTAATTCTATAGAAGGTCTTGCTCAGATGCTGGGTTGGGGCTGAGCACCTCTCTGGGGACATGCTCCAACCTATAGCATGTTGGACCTGCTTTTCCCTCAGGGCGCTGGCTCTTAACTGCTATGCCCCCATCAACGACAAGAAAGGGGCCGAGGCCAAGGACTGGAGGTCAGGGAAGCCGGTCAGGGTGGTGCGTAACATGAAGGGTGGCAAGCATAGCAAATACGCACCCGCCGAAGGCAACCGGTACGACGGCATCTACAAGGTGAGCTATACCTGAGGCTGGGCCCCTCTGCCAGGCTGCCTGTGATCCCAGGTGTTATTAATGGTGGCTCTGTTCCTTCAGGTTGTAAAGTACTGGCCAGAGAAGGGGAAGTCTGGGTTCCTGGTGTGGCGCTATCTCTTGCGAAGGGACGATGACGAGCCCGGCCCCTGGACCAAGGAGGGCAAGGACCGTATCAAGAGGCTGGGGCTGACTATGCAGGTTTGCCAGGGCTGGGCTGCTGCAGGCATAGAAGCTATGGCGCTTTGTGCCTGGACATCCTGAGTGGCCAGGTGTCCTGCTGTGAGCCTGTTCTCCTTGTGGATCAGAGCAGGGGTGTTCCTTCGTGGGCCTGAGCACAGTGGAAGTATGTGGACAGACCGGCTGCCTTCTTGGGGAGCCCTCCTGCTTTCTCTTTGTCCCACCTCGCTGGCTGTCATACATAAATGCTTCAGCCAGAGGGTATTGAATATGTGGGTATGTCATTTGTTACAATTATAAGCCAGACTCACTTGTCCTAGTGTTATTAGAGGTCTTTGCTGCAGCCAGCCTGGCTTCTCACCTTTCCTGTTTTTGTTAGTCTTTTTTTCAACTGGAGAAAAGCCAGAAACCACTAAAGCTGGTCAAATCCAGAGATGTACAGATGGAAAGATAAGAAGTAACTCCACTATGTAATCACGCCCCTTTCATGGTGCGCCGTCTTCTGAGAGTTGATCCAGCGTGGAGCATGGCTTTCCTGCACTATAATTATAGTGTTTTCTGTTCCTTATGGAGAGTTGCTTCACAGCAGATAAATCATTGTGGGACTATTTAAGGAATCTTAATTGCTATTGAGAGTCTGATAGTGTCTGCCCCCCTGGGGGTCACAGAGGATTGTCTTTTGAACAGGTTTATGCAATGGGGGATTTCAGAAGCCAAGGATCTGGGAGGAGAAATATCAGCTGGAAGAGAGCAGCAACTTATGACGAGAGGAGTAGTTTCATTTCTAGCTTTTGTCCTTATGGGAATTTAAGGTTGCTAAAGAAGGGTGAAGTTATCCTAAGGAAGCACAGGAGAGTTGGACATGATGTGGGTGCTGCAGAAATAGGACGATTATCAAATAGTGCCTGTGAGGACAGAGCAGCCCAAGTTGTTTGTAAATGAAGTTTTGTTGGGACACAGCCGTATCCCTTCACCTGAGTATCCTTTGAGCATCCTGCAATACAATAACTGAGCTGTGAGGACCTACAGGGATGGATATATACATATATATATATGTATATGTATATATCAGGATTTAGAGATAGTCTCATTTTGTCGCCCTCGGTAGCGTGCCGTGGCATCATAGCTCACAGCAACCTCCAACTCTTGGGCTTAGATGATTCTTTTGCCTCAGCCTCCCGAGTAGCTGGGACTACGGGCACCTGCCACAACGCCTGGCTATTTTTTTGTTGCAGTTTGACCGTGGCTGGGTTCGAACCCGCCACCCTTGGTATATGGGGCCGGCGCCCTACTCACTGAGCTACAGATGCTGCCTAAGGTGAAATATTTTTTATAGTAGAGGTTTGCCTGCTTTCATCTGAATCATAAATATACTGAGATTCTCATCTGTTGGTTATGGTGGTAAACACTTCACTAGCATTAGCTCACTTTAGTGCTCACCTGGATAAGGCAGGTGGAGGTTGCTAGGATCATCTTTTTTTTCTTTTTTTGAAACAGTATCACGCTGTGGCCCTGGGTAGAATGTCATGGCATCACAGCTCACAGCAACCTTAAACTCTTAGGCTTGAGCCATCCTCTTGCCTTAGCCTCCCAAGTAGCTGGGACTACAGGCACCCACCACCATGCCTGGCTAGTTTTTCTACTTTTAGTAGAGATGGAGTGTCTTGCTTGGGCTGGTCTTGAACTCCTGTGCTCAAGCAATTCACCTGCCTCAGCCTCCTGGAGTGCAGATCATCTCTTACTCATAGTTGAGGAGAAGAGACAGGATTAGCTATTGCCTAAGGCTTTGTGATTAAGGAAGTGCTCTGAGGCGAAGGCAGTCCCCAGGCCCCTTGTCCATGGAACAAGTTTCAATGCCCCTAGTAGACGCCTGAAACTGCACATAATATACACTATTTTTCTTAGACATACATGCCTGTCATAAAGTTTACTTTCCTCATTAGGCACAGTGGAGATAACTTTTCTTGGCATATTCAAATTGCCAATATCACTACTCTTACACTTTGGGGAGCCATTTTTAAAATTAATTTTTAAGAGTTAGGGTCTTAATCTGTTGCCCAGACTGGGGTGCAGTGATGTTGTACAGCTCACGCAGCTCCTGGCCTCAGGTGATCCTCCTGCCTCAGCCTCTCCCTAGTAGCTGGGACTACAGGCACCCTGTTGTCTTAGGGTGATTGTTAAGTAAAATATACATTATTCGAGCACAAGCACTGTGATACCATGGCTCCTAAGTGACTTTCAGGTGGGTAATACAGTGTGGATGTGCTGGGCAAAGGGGTGACTCCTGTCCTGATGGGACATAGTGGGACAACACAAGATTTTATCACAACAAGCAGAACAGAGTACAATTTAAAACATATGAATTATTTCTGGAATTTTCCATTTTAATATTTTTGATTGACTGTGAGTAAATTGAGATGGCAGAAAGTAGAACTGGATCAGGTGGGGGGGCTATTCTATATGTTTCAGGGGCACACTGGGAAACAGCTGTGTTTGGAGACCTAGACTTGGTAAGGGTTATTGGAGCAAGGTGTATGGCTGTGGGTGGGACCATCTCTCATAGCCTGTCCTCTTCCTCCTGCAGTATCCAGAAGGCTATTTGGAAGCCTTGGCCAACAGGGAGAAGAACAACGGTGAGAGGGAGGCAGAGGAAGAACAGCCGGAGACAAGCAGCTTTAGATCCCCCAGAATGGGCAAGGGCAAGTGGAAGCGGAAATCGGCAGGTGGGTGCATCTGTAGCAGCTCCATCCACAGCCTTGTACAGGATGCTGCCTCAGCCTCACCAGCTCTGCTCTCTCTCAGGAGGTGACCCGAGCAGGGCTGGGTCTCCGCGCCGGGTGCCCAAGAAAACCAAGGTGGAGCCCTATGGCCTGACGACCCAGCAGAACAGCCTCATCAAAGAGGACAGGAGCAATGCCAGGCTGTGGACAGAAGTCCTGAAGTCTCTCAAGGATGGACCGGTGAGTGTAGGTGGTGGCTGTCTTGTTCCCCCTTGTTGTGGTAAATACGTATAACATTGGCTATTTAAACCACTGTTATGCACAGCTCAGGGGCATTAAGCAGATTCAGATTGTTGGGCAGCCATCACCACTCTTCATCTCCAGAACTTTCTCATCCTCCCAAACTAAAACTCTGCCCCTACTAACTCCCAGTCCCTGGCACCTACCCTTACCACTTTGTCTCTGTCTCTGGATCTGATGACTCTAGGGACCTCCTAAGTAGAATCATACCCAAACCCTTTTCCTTCACTGCAGCCCACACCCTGGGTGACCTGCCTTTTACTTTTGATGTCCCCTACTGGCCCTCCCTCCTGATCATCCCATTGTGAGACCATAATTGTTGCCGTTTCCTCTGCTTAGAGGCCTTTCTTGGTCCTCCTGGTTCAGTTTCTCCCTCCCATGTGAGTCTCTTGTTGCCACTATAACACATTTCCACTAGCTTGGTAGTTCAAAACAACATGTTTGTCATCTTCTAGCTCTGGAGGTCAGGAGTCTGACATAGGCCTCAGAGCTAATGTTAGGGTATGGCAGTGCTTGTCCCTCCTGTGGGCTCTGGGGAGAACCTATAGCCATCCTTTTCAGGCATTGAGAGGGCACCTCTTCCTCCCCATTCAGAGCCGGCAATGCACATCTTCCCGTCTGTTTCTGTCTTCCAGCCTCTGACCCTCCTGTCTCTTCCTAAGAGGACCCTGTTAGTGACACTGGGACCCCAGATCATCTGGGATGGTCTCTTGTCTCCTTAGCTTAGTCTTATCTGTGGAGTCCCATTTGCTGTGGGCAGTGATGTATTCACAGGTCCTGGGATTTAGCTGTGGCTATCTCAAGGGGTCCCCATTCCTCCCTCACTTTGTTCAGGCCACATTCTGTGGAGCTTTCTCTGCCTGCCCTTCTGAGTCCCTCATGTCCCCACTCTGGCTCTCTGTTCTTTCCTTGTACCTCTTTGGTGTCATTTATTTGACCCCAGGCTCCAAGTGGAGTGAGATGGGTTGGGGAGGTCTTCTATGTTGTCTGTGGCTGACACCCCAGCACTCAGTGGATGCTTAGTACCTGCTCCCTGATGGAGTGGAGAGACTCACCTGAGATAACTGTCTTGACTGGGCCTGGGGGAGAGACAGTCTCACTTTGTTGCCCTTGGTAGAGTGCCATGGCGTCACAGATCATAGCAACCTCCAGGTCTTGGGCTTAGGTGATTCTTTTGCCTCAGCCTCCCGAGTAGCTGGGACTACAGGCACCCGCCACAATGCCTGGCTATTTTTTGTTTCAATTCTCATTGTTTTAGCTGACTGGGGCCGGGTTTGAACCTGCCACCCTTGGTATATGGGGCCAACGCCCTATGCACTAAGCCACAGGTGCTGCCCTCCAGGTCCCTGTTTGACCTGGTCAGTTGCGGCCGGGGGCCCTGCACCAGGTCTGCTCAGGATTGAGGTGATTGCTGGTCCAGCCTCCTTGGGCAGAGTCTATGAGGACAGAACTAGAGGGAGGACACAGGTCATGTGCTCTGAGCAGGGAACCTCTAAATTGTGAAGATCTCATGTATGGTCTGTGTGATTTGGAGTGCGGGGTCTGCTGACCTCATCTCCATCCTTCTCCAATTTCAGATGTTCCTGAGAAAGGTGGAGGAGGCATTCCAGTGCATCTGCTGCCAGGAGCTGGTATTCCGGCCAGTCACGACTGTGTGCCAGCATAACGTGTGCAAGGTGAGCAGAGAATGTTTCTGATGCGGCAACAGTTGCAGGACCTAGGCAGAAGGTTCTGGAAGGATGCCCTAATTTCCCCATCCCATGTGGGCTTCTCTGCTTTGCTTTCTGTTTATGGCCTTTCTGGGTAGCCTCTATATCATGACCTCTGGGCTGCTTCCAGGGTCACCTCCTCACCCTCCTGCCTTTGTGGGGAGGTGTTTGCTTCCATACCCCTGGGCCTAGAATATCCCACCCCCCACCCCCCGCCTTTTTTTTTTTTTTGAGGCAGTCTCACTATGTCTCCCTCAGTAGAGTGCTGTGGCATCACAGCTCACAGAAACCTCAAACTCTTGGGCTTAAGTGATTCTCTTGCCTTAGCCTCCCAAGTAGCTGGGATTATAGGTGCCCGCCACAGTGCTCAGTTATTTTCTTGTTGTAGTTGTTGTTGTTGTTTAGCAGGCCTGGGCCAGGTTTGAAACCACCAGCCCTGGTATATGTGGCTGGCACCCTAACGACTGAACTATGGGTGCCAAGCCATCTTCCCTCTTTTTATATGGCTGAGGGTCCTGCCAGGAGAACATGGGTTGGCCTAGCCCAGGATCTGCATGGGGAAGTATGAGGTGCATGTCTCCCAGGGGATAAGAAGGAGGGCTTTCTGGAAGAGGTGGTGCTAGCTTGGTACCTGAAGTGGTCTGGGGGTGGGTGGCATCTCCAGGTATGTGGAATGGGGCAGGCAGAAGCCTGAGTAGGAGCAGCTGGGGCCTATAGAGATTGGCTCAGATGGGTCTGGGACAGGGTCTATCCTCAGCACTGTGGACATTGGAGCTGGGGTGAGGCTGTTCTTGGCACTGCAAGATGCAGAGCAGCAACCCTGATCTCCCCACCCACGTAGTGCCAGAAGCTCCCCTACTATGAATATCACAGATGTCCCTGGACATGGTCCAGTGCCCCTGAAGGTAGAACCACCCAGTTGGGAGGGGTTCATTTGGAAGGGTGGTGTCTTTGCAGTGACCTCTGGCCAAAGCCAGTCAGTCTTAACTGGTGTGTAAGGGACTGTTCCACTCTTGACCTTCCTTGGTCTCTGAGCTACTGGTGGTTGTGCTTTCTTAGCCTTGAGCCCATGCCCTCTGGGTATATTTTTCAGACTAGGATCAGGGGTCAGAGAACAATGAAGGATTGGATGTTCTAGGTCAAGCTCTTGGTACTTCTGCCCTCTCTGGCCCCATCTATCCTGCTTTGTGGCCTGAGTTCCTTCAGCTGCATGGGCTACCCACTCTGGCTCAGAGGGAACAGAATGAGAGATGCCCCTGCCCATCTTGAGTCCTCAGGGAGCTCCCAGGAGGCACAAGGGGCTATGGCATCTTTGAGGTCAGCAGCCCAGAGTTGACCTGTCAGTCACATCTCAGACCTTTAGAGGCCACCTGACGCCACTGAGCCTCAGGTGTCTTAGTGGAAAGGGGCCTTGTACCACCTTTCCGTCGGAAGATCCTGGCTCAGCCTCTGGTGGGAAACAGGTGCTCAGTAAGTCCTGGCTTGTTTCCTTGGTCTGGCTTCAGGTGGCTTGGAAGGAGGCAGGCCTGAGGTGTGCTGTAGGGTGGCAGGGAGCCAGTGGTCAGGATTGCCTCAGGTGCAGGGGCATTCAGAAGCACTGGTGGGTGTGAGAGAAGGGCTAACTGGCACAACTATATCCCTGCTATCTGTCTGTCTATCTGCCTCCCTGTGTCCTATCTTGAGAAGCTTCGCATCTGAGAGTTTAAAGGAAAGTGGCTTGGACCCTTACCCCTGATTTTTTTTTTTCTTTAACCCTTTTTTTTTTTTTTTTGAGACGGAGCCTCAAGCTAACCCCCTGGGTAGGG